GCCGCCGGCCGCCGCGCCGAGGAGCCGCGCGACCGAGCGGACGCCGACCCGAGCGGGGTGAAAGGCCGGGTGGATGCGCTGGAGAAGGCGTGCCTCCGCTTAGACGCCATCTCCGCTCGCATCGAACAGCTGGAGGGCGGACTGGGCGGGACCAACGCCACCTGCGGACGGCACGCCGCGGACATCGCCGAACTGCGCGACTCCTTGCGGCGCTTCCAGGCCCGGCTGTCGGCCGTGGCCAGACAGGTGTCCAAAGAGGTCGCCGCCAGGGATCCGGGTGAGTTTCTCTCTGACGTGGCGGGGCCGCTTGAGGTCACGCGCATCCGTCGATATCCGGTCACGTCGACATTCCCGACCGCCATCTTTTCTCGCAGTGCGGCGGGGCTTTTACGCAAATTGATGAGACCGAAGGGTTTGATAGTGGGAATAGAAAGTGAGACGATGCCACCCAGTTGGCTCTCAAAGGGACTGACCCGAGAGATGTGACGATTGGGCGCACTTCCTCCCCAACTCCGCGGCATTCGGGAGTTTTCTCGACATCTGTCCAAACACAAAGCCTCCCTGCAGATAATCCCGCGTGATATCACGCGCCGCGCCTGCGCGACTCGCGTCGAGGCTCGGGGGAAAAGGATCGCATCCACCCTCCCCCGAATGGCCGCAGGGTATTTCCCGAGCGGGAGGACGCGAGTTCACTGGGCTCTCTCTCGCCGGATGCCCGGCCGGCCTCCTCGCGTGTCATTCGATATGCGGGCCCAGAACGGAAACTTCCCGGGACTTCTGAGGTCGTTGCGCCGTTTTTCCACAAGGAATGCGGCGGGTAAACTGAAGCCAAAAGATTTATGCGGCCAAAGCGGCTTTGGGATCGCGGCCCCCGCCGACCGCTTGCCGTGATTTCATTGCGCAATTTTTTTGCTCCCCCGGTGGGAGACGTCGGAACACCCTGGTCGACGGACTTTTTCCCCCTCCCTGAGTAACGTTTTCGTTTTTTTTTTTTCGGGTTTCCTTTCTCATAGCGCGGCGCACAGGCCTCACGCACGCGCCCGATGTCAAACCCCGGGGATTCTCGGAGGGTGACGTCACCCCGACGAGTCGGGGTCTGGTCCTCATTAAGGGCTCTGACTCATTGCGGCGACGGAGAAAAGGAGGCGGCGTTCGGCTAAGCGCGGCTCCACGCCCGCGGCCAGATGCGCGCGTCGCCCCCTCCGCCGTGATGTCATGGCTTTGGGCCGCGCGGCCGGCGCCTCCCTTCTTCTCGTCAGTGCAATGACCCAAACCGAGGGCGTGACGGGGAAGGGAGGTGGAAACGGGCCTTTCCCAAAACTCTTTGCGCTAAGTCGGACTCGAGAGCGGAACGCCGGCGGCTCCGAACGATAACTGACTCACCGCGAGCTATCTGCGAGCGGACGGGCATCCAAAGTGTCTTGTCGAGTTCAACGTCGACCTGGCTGGCGTTTCCCAAGTGGCGGGTGTATTCTGGGCGTCACCTACGTAAATCATCTGACATCATAGCGACGGGACATGCCGGTGTTGACGCCATTGTTGCCGTTTGTACCCCCCCCAAAAAAAGAATCGGGCTCCCTAGCAAA